ATAAGCAGGGCGGGCGAAATTCCCCACGAAGTCCAACATGCAGACATCACGAGCACGAAGCCAAGTCCTCACCCAGCGTTTCACCAGCACATCTCCCATCAAAGTCACTGGAAGCACTAAGTATCCCCATATAACTGCAGATTTGCTCCGTAGAGAGAAGATTACAGTCAAATTACTTCAGACAGTTGAAGTATCTCAGTGTGATATACTCCCAATGGCCCTGTTTAGGTCCCTCCATCATTTATCGACTTCTACTTTGCTACTTCCTGCCAGATGGAGGCAAGGAAATTTGAAGAGCAACTAGTAAATGAAATATAAGGAAATAAAACCAGCGTTGGCTCTCTCTCTTGCAATTAGTCTTTACTTGTGCTTGAAGCCAACACCAAATACCCTTGATGGCAGAAATAATAAATGCAGCCACCACACAGCAACACAGTGTGTTAGGCCCCTCCTGGAAATGGAGGGCAGACTATGGTATGTTCTTCTTTACGTCAAAAAAAAAGCACAGAAACATAAACAGACTTACAAATGCAACAAGGGTAGGGATGATTAAAGGATGAAAAAGGTTCCAATTCTTACATTAAATATATACGTTTTTTCTGTCATCCCCAGGCATATACAAGGTTGGACATTTACCATGCAAGACTCCAGGTGTGACAGAAGGAATTGGTATTTAGGGTAACTCCCTCCCTTCCCAAAAATAACTAGTCTTCCCTGGATAAAGGTTTTCACGCATTGAGTATCACACATTAATGACAGAGGTTGTGCTCTGTCTGTGATAATATAAAACGTGAGGATTTAAGTGATATAAGAGGTATGGCAGCACAAAGTGATAAACTTTGGCAGGGAGATCTGAGCATTCAACTTAGAGAAACTAGCTCCAGACAACACTGAGGTTAGTCTTAGGGTGCACATTCAAAGGGAAAAGGAAGAAAATCAAAGAAGTTGCAAGAACAAAGATACCATTAGAACCTGGAAAGTCTTCTAAGACACAGGCTTAAGGGAGGGCATGAATTGCTAATGCAAATGATTGTTTATAATAGTCATTTAGTGAAATGAATCAAACAACATAAAAACTGGTTAATCAACATGAAAGAGCACGGGCTTTTCATTTACTGCTCAGATGGATTGTGGGTTTTTTGTTTTTGTTTCTTTTTTAATGGAGAAGAACTAGAGCTCTCCAACAACATGCATGCTGGAGCCTGTGGGGACAAAAATCACCCCGTTCCAGAGGCCAAGTTCATGTTCCTGTTCCCAATTTGGCCTAGACAGCACAAGTTTGTTCATGTAAGATTAAAGGAATGAGGTCTCTATGGCGTACTGCAGTATGGTCCTTGGAATAAGATTCTCATTTACTAAATAAATTACTGTATATTACTGTATAATGGTGTTCACATTATAACTGACAATTAGCGCCATTAAAGAGAAAGCTCATAAACATCCAAAGCTCACATTAAATTAACACAGTCATGATTAAAATCACTCTTCTGATTTCTGCTCTTCACAGAAATAATCAGCATTTTGCATAAAAATGAGCATGAGGCAGCTAAAAATCACAGTTCTGCTAGGACAGTGGGCCTGAAAGCAGCTAGCAAAGCCACGTCAGCCGCAGCCACCTACGAGGTGACAAGTGGGCAGGTTTGTCACCCACTGCAGGTAGCTGGGACAGTGCCCTCCACCCATGAACCTCCAAGCAGACAGGGCTGCTCACCCTTGCGTCAACACCGGGGATTAAAGCTCTGTAATTACTGCTCTTGGCTCTAATGAGGGAAACCTGGGTTCCCGCCCCAGCATGAGGGAAGCTCGTCTGCTTTACTGGAATTTTGTCACTTTGGCATTTAAATCGTTTCTAGTGCTTGCATGGTCATTTATACCTCAGACTTCAGAAGAAGAAAGAAAAACCTGAGCAAATATAACAGAGAAGAAAAGCTTAATACAAAGGAATCATCCATTTGTTAAGATGTAGAGAATGCAACATTTTAAACTGCTCCTTAGCTGAAGGATGAAGGGAAAAGACTTTTGTAAACTGGCACAGAGCCCACGTCCTCCGTATCAGAACTAGTGCTCCAATCTCACAGCACTGCACTAACGGCACCGCTTTAATCTTCAGCATCACAGCGCTAGTTACCAGCCTTGCCCAAAAGACAGTGCCAAAATGGAAAGAAGGAGGAAAAAAGACTGAGGCTTCAGCTCAAAGTTGTCCAGGGCTGGTATCGCAAAGTGGCACGTGGACATCTCTGTTTGTAAAGGGAACTTCAGATACAGCCAAGCTCATCATGGTTCCATAAGGCTTTAATATCAGCAAGGAGAATCTAATCAATACATAAGCAATCAAGACCATGTAATGATAGCAACCATTTAAAATACTGTTACACATGCTATGGATTGAAAAGGAATCACAATACACTACATATGAATAAAAGCACTGCAAGATAATATGCCTTTGATCCAACATCCCTTTAAAGTAGGAAACAAAAGGACATTCTCATATATCTTACCAACTAATTTAACATATAAATCACCAAAAAAATATGATCCAGATGGGCTTCAATGAAAGAAACCAATTAACGCAGACAGCCTTACCATCTGACACATTAGCTGTAATAATAAAAACCAAACAACATGGTCAAACAATAATGCTCTGTATTAAATCTGACATTTCTAATTAGATTCTCCATCCTCTTCAAGAAAAAAGACTAGCAGCAAACATTTTGTTTCCCTGAGGAAAAAACATCTAAACTTCATGTGGATGCAGAACGAAGTCTACGGATGGAGCTGATCTATCAGCATTCCCTTGGGATGTGCTTTGGAACTAATGGGTTTTGCATGGTACACATCTGGTTTCACAGTTAGGTTTGGAAAATGTTTGCTTTCCACTGCATTGCTGCCTTCACTGCTGCAGAGTGCGAATGCCGATACCTGGGCACTGAACTCCTTACCTGCACCCACGGACTCAGAGCAACCGGATTGACGTGGTCTTTGCTTGCTGTAGGATGGCACTGTGATTTTTCCTCTCCACAGTCTTCCTGGAAATGGCACTTCTCAAACAAAGTACAGTTTTCTGGCAGAGACCTCCCAGTGCCAGGCAACTAGGGTTGCATCAGGCAGCTGCAGCCTGAACTACAATTAGCATTACAAATTGAAAGCTCCACTACGCATACGTGTACAGTAACTTTTTGAGGGGTCTAATCCCAACTGTAAGGACTATTGGCAAGAGCAACACCATTCCACCATCTTAGACCTACTGAACATTTTGAGCACCTTTTAAAACCCACTCATGGAAATCCTTCTCAGCAAATCGTTTAGTAACGTTGAAATTTGGAATTCTAGGGCAGGAGGGAATGTCTGGGTTTAGAAACCGCTCATTCTTTAAAATAATAAAAGAAAAGCCAGGGAAATTTTGCTAATGCCATTGTGCCTAGAAAGGTCAGAGTTCAGAGATCCAAGTTCTTGTAATGAATGCAACTCACTGAAAATTACACTTTTGTTATTAGAATTACACCCATCTGAAACAGCAAATTGTTGTGCACAGCATTCATAAAAAACAACAGTGACCTAAATTCAGAAAGGCATGCTCTGCTTTTTCCCCCCCCCATTTAAATTTTAAAACAGAATAAATTAGTATTCCAGCCAAATGAAAGGGAAATAAAGAATATTTAGAACAAGGAGAACTCATTCCTTAAGAATTTGCTTTTTCTCCAAAGCAAAATAACTTTAATTCTTCCACCTAGCACCAGATAGCCCTGTCTTCAAAAGAAAGATTGGGAATACTATTTTTGAAACAAACAGAGTTCTTTACTATCTCCACTTCCTCAAATTTCCAAAGAGGAGATGACTGGCTCCTCCTGCAACCCAGAAAGAGCGACTACAAACACCAGGATTCTCATCTGAGAGAGACGAGGCGGCATGAGAACGTTTGGGCTTCTGCTCTGCGCCTGCATGGGTGGCCTGGCGTGGGAAACCACAGCCCCATCCAGCCGGAAGCCGTCGCAACGTCTCATAGAAGAATTCCCTCAAGGGGTCAGACAGAGGTGGGAAAGATAAAGATAGTTTCTCATTCATGTGATGGATGGGGAAGATGAGAATGGTGGGTTTCAGTGAAGCACAGGAGCCAGCCACAACCTCCCTCTGTGCTTTGGACATCTGTCCCAGCCACGCTAACTGCTCTGCAGGTGCTCACCTGATGTCTGGAAAGCAAAGGTAAAACTGGGGTTATCTGGAATTTCACCATGCAAAACCTTGAGAATAAAGTAAAAATCACCAGCAAACTCTAACACTGGACAGATGGATGCAGAACTAGTGGGCACGGTGCAAGACCCCACCGCGCTGGGCATCACGGCGTCACAACACAAAGGTTGTCCCATCGAAGGGATGCCTTGGCACTCTGTTACGGACAGACCTCTGTCCTGACCACAGCCAGGCTGGCAGGGTACCCTGTCCCAGCAGAGCCCTTGCAGCCTTTGGCACCAACAGCACTGGGCTGGGAGCAGCTTGTGCAGATCCATCCTCACGTACTCGTAGCACAAGATAAGCCACAGCAGCTGAACACAGGTAGGGAGAAGGCCGTGTACGTGCAAGGAAGCAGCACTGAGAAAACACAGCGTGCTCAGCGCAACAGCTCCCAGACTGCGACTGGTTACTTGTTTGCAAGCGCCATGGGACAGAAAAGATTTGGAGGAGGATGAGGTCACTTTGCGGATATTTGCAAGGAGATCCTCCCACACACGAAAAGCTTATGGGAGAAACCAGAAAAGTGGCTGTTTGAAACTTAACCCATGGGACGTAAAAGCTGGCAGAGCGAGCAAAGCAGAGCTCAAAGCTGACATTGCAAAAGCACATAAGAGATGATAGATAGAGTGCTGCGAGGGCCGGAAGGGCCTTGAAAGTGATATGTTCACTGAAGGAAACATTGCCCTATTTCACAGCCATCTCAAACTACTGCAATACATTCCGGTTTTATTTTTTTTAACACGAACACAAGCACACCTCTTTCCACTCACCTCAACGGGGAACCTCTTGCCATTGATGCTGTGCTCAGAGCCAGCCGACCCGTTGCTTTGACCCCAGTGAAACTCCACTTTCTCTGCCTTGAATCTGCCTGGCAGCCCGGCGCCGCTCACGAAGTACTCGTCCTTAAGCAGGATGGCAACTGTACACCCAAGACAAGGAGAAAAACACGCTCAGCACAGATTTTCTGAAACATTTGGAATTGTTGCTCATTATACTAAAAGAGTTTTTTTTTCCAATATACGCAAAGGGCAGGGGAGCATTTTCCTCCTTATAGAGGTTGGTTAAAAAAAAAAGGACTAAAAGTAATGCTGGCTAATTAGGGAAGTGATTAGGAAGCTACACAGAGTATGGAACATCGCAAAAACCTCCAGATTTCTCAAGGACTTTCTGCTCTCTTCATTGATTAAAATTTATATGGTGAACTATCAAAAGATTGTTTAAAGTGGTTCCAGGGATTAATGGTTGACCATGTGGCCTAGCCCTGCAAACTGAAGGTCTGCAGATCACAGACGAGGAAAAAACATGGATCCTGTTGGACTCCCCCTATTCTGGTGAAGGAAAAACGAGGCCCATGCCCCAGCTCCACCTCTACTGCTGGTCATGGCAGATACTTTCCTACACCAACTGGTTGCTGTAAAATGGAGAGAGTGTCAATAACTTTTGTGGAGTCTCACTCATGAAAAGCCCTTCATAAGATCTGGGTTTTATTACAGTAACTCTGACGTTATTTGGCTCACTGAAGGTCAAAAAGCTCTTTTTTTCTTTTCATTTACAAATGCCTTTGTATTTTTCATGACAACAAAAGCCCTAGGTCCTAACAGAGGACAAAGTGATCTGGGGGTGGTCATTTGGAAGATGTTATGGGAGAGGACTATGGTCACAATAAAAACTGAATCCAGATTTGCAAAATCCCATGTGCTACTCTCACTACATAACCCCCTTCACCTTTCTAACATCTCCGACTTTTAATACGCACAGTTGCTAGGAATGGCTCCTCACAAAACGCTTTGTTCTCATTCCTTACAAAAATGTTGCTTAAAAAAAAAAAGAACTAAAATTACTTTTTTTCTAAAAGCCATTGCAGACCACCACTTACTGTACCCAGAATCTTGCAATTAAAGATCTTTTTAATGGGAAAAGCATAACCCCAAAGGATTCTTCTGTGTTCTCAATCCAAGTGTGTCATCACAACATTAATATAAAGCCATTTTTATTATGTAAAAGGGAGGATTGTATTCACTGCCGAAAAAAAACGAAAAGGCCAGTTGTGAAATACAAGTTTTTCCTCCACTGCTGAATCACTGCTTTTGCTGCAGGCTGGACTTTCTGCCGCACTAGGGCTGCTCTTGCCACGAGCAGTCGCCTAAGGAAGCCTCATCTCAGGTGCAATTGTGCAATTCAGAAACAGCTAAGCTCTGAATTGTTTATGTTAAAAAATGTTTAAATGTCAAATTGCATCAGATTCTTCTAAGTTGCACCAGTGCCATCACAGGGCTCTTTTCTCCCGTGATTTCTGTTTCTTTTGATACTCCCTTTGCTTCAAGGCATTTCTGTAGGAACAACGGCGACAAAGGACGAGCTGCAGGATACTGCCCCTATCAGCCATGGGATTACTGGTGGCCACTCTCTCCTCACACCGAATCTCTGAAATTTGAGTGGCTGAAAGCATCACTGCTCTCTGCTTCCCTCAGAAACTTCTCAATGAGCTCAGCAGTACTTTAAATACTGAAAGTCCCATTCAATTGGTTATAAATTCCATACATAAAATTGTAAGGGTTGAGGAATACAGGGAAGCAGATTCATATGCATCTGTTGAAGATCTCTGTGGGCATTCAGTTGCATCTAATAAATATTTGATAGTTCCTAAATCATTTATGGCTCTGTCAGGGGTCATTTTACTTGTTTTAGATGAATAATTAAAAGGATAATTAGGAGGATGTACAATCTGAAATGTTCATCTAATTGTTCATTTTACAGTATTTCTTACACTGCTAAGCTGTACAACACATGTTCCCATCACCTTCTCATCCTAGCAACATCCCCTTATCGCCAGGAATTTGGGGGTGGTGTGTGTGTATATATATATGTGTGTGTGTACGTATATATAAAACTAAGTGAGCTGAAAAAAGGGTTAAAAGTGTGTGTAAGGCTGGTGAGGATGCTGCTCCCATGGGGGCATGCCAGGCTCCTGCAGCTTCAGGCCCGGCTGATGCTTAATCACTGGGTGGCAAAGGTAGCTAATGCCAACACATCTCTGGAGAGTGCTCATGCTCTCCCAGAGACCTTTCCCACTTCTCCCTGGGGACACCTGAACCCACATCGGTGCCCGCGTAACCAGCACCACAGCGTTTCCCGTCCAGACCAGGCCCAGGAAGCCGCCTCCATTTTGCAGCCAAAGCTCTGCTTTTGGCACCTTTTCTGCCCTTCACCCAAGGATGGACACAGGGTGGGGAGAAGACTGTCCTAGAAATGTAGACAGCAATAACGTCTTTACCTTTTAACATCTCAGAGAGTAAAAATAACGTGTCTTTCTCTTAAAAAAAAATCTAGTCAAACAGCAATCATAATAATCCAAGGAAGACTTTTCTTGATGGTTAAAGAGCATTCAGGTTAAGGACCTTTGCCTTTCCCTCATAGCGCCGTCTCTCTTATCCAGTCATTAATGCCCTCTGTGTCGGCCACCACTGCTTAAACAGATGTTGGTTTTAGTGTCTCTGTCCATCAGCAAAACGAGGGCCTCACACAGCCACCGGCCCCAGGACTCCCCTGTTGAAATCCCTAATGATCGGTGGCAGAACCTGCCTCTTCCTGCACCACAAGGTCCCGCTTCGTTTGCTGCTCGGCTACTTACCACCTTCACAGCTAAATCTGGGCAAGTTGCTTCAAAAGATCCAAAAAAAACACAAAAAACAAAAAAACAAAACAAAAAAACAAAAAACACTACAAAACAAACAAACCCACCCAAAAAAACAGAAAAGGTGCAGGACTCCATAAAACAAGGAGGAGCCAAGAGCTCAGCCGAAGAAATCAGAGATGACAGCAAGGCAACGAGTATTCACAGTATCAGTAAAAGGCCGTAAGTTACCAAAGAAAAGTGACAGTTACTGTTGCCCTGAGAAGCAATAACTTGTCAGCAAAAATCCATACCCCAACGGGTGAGGGAATCAAATACAGCAGTAGTGCTAAAATCACCCAGCAGAGGAAACTCAAGATACAGCTTTCATTACCAACTGCGGGAACACTGGAAAAATTGCTAGCACGTTTCACTCCGACACGGTTTCCTATTATACATGCAGCAATATGTTCCTATTACACATGCAGTATGTCATTAGCATCTTTCCAAGAAGAATTGCAACACTGCTTTTTTTCTTGGGTTTTCTAATTACACTTATTGCTGGTTACTGCAAACATCCCTCCACGACCACCAGGGCAGGGTGCAGAACATGAATGGATTAATTAAGCACCATGTTTGCACAGCATTCGACCTCCCCAGGAACTCCTTTTGGGCAACAAACTCTGGATTTCAAAGCAAACACAGGCATCTCTTCCTGAAGCTGAAAAACCCACAGCCACCCAAACTCTGCTTGATGGTGGCGTGCACGAACTCGATCTGCTCTGTAGTGAAGCAAAGCAGGATCCCATCACTCCAACCAAGGGGCAAAAATTCAACTCTTGGTATGTTCTCCAAATGCTGGAACGGGATGTAAAGGCCTGCCTGAGTGTTGTGACTCAGATCCAAACCTCCCTGGAAGCAGAGGGTGCATCCGTGGCCGTCCTGCACGCACAGCCACGCTGCAGGCCCCGGCGCGGGTACCTGCCCCGGTTGTGCTCGCAGGCCTCCAACTAGAGACGTGTTACAGAAAGCACTGCACAGATTCATGTTGCATGTTAATAAAGATAAAAATATAGTTCCAATAAACAAAATTGAATTAATTAGTGGTTTAATCCAATTCCCTTAAAATATGTGACCTTGTCAAATGAAGAGGGTGGCCTGATAATTTCTGCTTTTTACATTTTTAGATTTAAAGAGTAATCAAATGCATACGGCTTTGCATATAAATCAACCTTGACCTTTTGGTGAACTGGTTTGGTAAAAATAAGCAGTACTCTCCGACTGTGCTTTTCTCTAAAAGCCAGAACAGACAGAGCAGAAGAGGATTCAGATCAGAGAAGAACACAGCGCCGTAATCATATCAGAAACACATTAATAAGCCCCTACTTCTGTGAGTAGTTATTGCTCTTTCTTCTGTAAAACCTTCTGACTCCTGAACTTCCTCTTTCCTGCAGAAGGGCCTGAGCCTTGCATCTCGGCGTTCTTTTGGATTAGCTGCTACGGCCTCTCAAGCTGATAATTCAAGGTTACACCTTGCAACTCCTGCACAGCCTTTTATTCTGAGGAACAACTGGCTGCCAAGAAAATTATTTCATACTGAGAAGGAGCCTAAAAAAATAAAAACCCTTAAAATTAATCTGCAGAACTGGCTTTGACTTTGCTAAGAATGCAAAGGTAGAGATAGGTGGCTGTTACTAGGAAACCATGTTAAAAAAAAAAAAAAAAAAAGGAAAAGAAAAAAAGAAAAAGCAACCCCCACCCCAAAACATAACAATAAAAAAGTTAAAAGGGAGAAGAAAGTTATAACATGGCTTGAATTTTTAATTGATTGCATGCAGGCTGTAGAGACAGATAGAAAAGCACATACCTGTTTTTCCAGTATTTTTCATCCAAGTCTTGTTAGAAGATTCATTGTCAAACCCATCGAGCTGCAGTTCTTGATACTCATCTCCCACACGTGCCTGATGGTCTACAATGTCGATGGGAGACTGGTGATACCCACCGCACTTCTCACTGGAAGTGACCCAGTGCTCGGGACCGTAGGTACCTGTTGAAAAGTACCAACCCATTAACATTCCTGTAGCTCAACAGTCTTGGATAACTCTGAGTAAGCAGATCAAGCATTTAAGCTCTCCAGGTAACTCCATTGCTGTTCTATTTCTGACATTTGAAGGAGGTTAAGACTTGTAAACTTACGAAGAGATCGAAATCCATTAGCTTTATGCAGCACTCAAACTTTGCCTCTAGCTGTAACGAGCAATGGCCTTTTTTAATTGCTGTTCTGTAAAACTATCTGCAATTCCCAATTTCCCCTGATGTGTTATGAATTAGCACAATGTTACAAGAGCTTTCTTAAAGCTTCAGCCACAAGATATTAGTATATAGTTTACCTTTGTACATGAGATAAATAATGTATCAACAACCCATTAACTCGTGTTTGTGTAATACTCTGCTTAGATAATACAATCTCAATTAATGATTTCATTTCTTTTAGAGGTTTTTGAAGCTAAAAGGATGAGAAGAAAGGACTTAAGCTGAAGAAGGTATCGGTACATTTGAACAAAGCAATTGTGGGAAAAAAGGAACGCTAGAAGGAAAAATAAAGATGACCATGACCTTCCAGGAAAATAACTGTGGCTTTCTTCTGCTATCCCTCTCTAATTTTCTGTTCATCTGATTAACAAAATCTGGTTACACCTGATATAGATTACCCTTTTGGAACAAGTCAAGTCAAATACTAGCAGTAAATGTAAAGCTCCACAGACCCAGCAGCAGAGTCTTGCAGGGGCCTCTGCACCTGGGCAGGTCAGAGCAGTCTGTATTGCATGACACAAGGCGACGCAGATGCAGAGCCAAACTGCTGCATCTGTACCCTTGCCTTCTACTATTGTTTTGGTTTGAAAAAATATATGTATATTGCAAGGTCGGAGCTGCTTTGCATAGGCCAATGCGCAACTCGCAGCAGCGGAGCTGAGAGGAGCAATGCCACAGAGCCCCTTTGCCAGAGGTTGCCCACCCCAGCCCTAGCTCAGCCTGCTCGCCTGTGAGACTCCCCAGTACAAATAGTCAATACAAATAACCCATAAAAAATAAAAATTTAGGGTAAATGCCTTGTCCTCCCCTCTACATTGCAGCTCTAGCAACACCAGAGACCTCAGGAGGACCAATTTGCAGCATGCAGACTAGGATCTCCAGTGAAATTCAAGTTTGCTTGCAATCTCTTTCTCCGACTCCTAAATTGTATTAACAGAGACTAAGAGCTTACCTTCCTATCAGCACAACCAGTGGCTTAAGCTCTTGTAGCACAGAGGACTTAAAAAACAAACAAACAAACAAACAAACAAAAAAAAACAAAAAACCACTTCCTATTCGCAATTCCTGAAGTGCTTTACAGCAGGGATCAACACTGTTATCCTTACATAAAGACAGGGCAATCCATGGGCTGAGAATGGGTGCAACTTGCCCTAGCTCCCTTGGCAAAACCAAGTTACAGCCCAGGGCTGAATCCAAGTCTCCTGAGCCCGGCTCCAGAGCATCATCCATGGGACATCTGATGTCACATGTCCATCACACCTCCAAAACATGCAGGGAGCACGTCCTCTCCGTAGGCATAAAGAAGAGCATCATGTCCTAGCATGCATTTATTACCCTTGCATCTGACAAGCATATGTAAATTCACCTAGTGCCATCCAAACCCAGCAGTTGGAAGGCCAACTGCTGTGGGCCTTGGATTTTCATAACTACTTGCAAAACGCACTGGTTCCTGTCTTTGTATGGCTCATGTGGGATGCCTAATCCATGCAAGATTTTGTGCACTACTACATCATACTCAGAGTGCATGTTATCCAAATAAACCCCAAAGAAAGTGTTTTATTTTCAACCACAATTAATCGAATGGACTTTTTAACTGGGCAGATGATGTAAACGATTTTTAAAAGCTATTACAATTTTTTTTTATCTCAAGATTCAACCTTTATAACCAACAAAAGCCACTTGCAGTTAATTTCCCTTGTACCACACCTAAGGAGAACAATGTTATTAAAAGCCCTGCCTGGGGAAAACCGAACATGTTCCACTCACAAATCGGTGGTTCTTGACTCAGGATGCTCTTAGTAATTGTTTTGCAGTGATTTAGATGTCAATTCAGATCTACTTTTTGTATGTCACTGCACTTACTCTATGAAATTTTGGAATTTGCTCTAAAATGTTTAGTATTGCACATAAACATCAAACCTGCCAGCTCCCAGCTTTCGGCTTCATTATAAATGTGAGGTGGTTTTTCAAAGTGCTCTGCTCACAGAAGCTATCACAGTGGTTTCAGCTGTGCATTCAGAAGGAGCTGTACACACAATTTTTTTAAAATACCTTGGTGACCCTTTAGTCAAGAGGGAGATTTATTTATTTATAAAGTATGCTGATTTATTTTAACCAGGACTGTTGGGTTATTTCCATGCATCTTGTCACAAATACCTTTTTTTTTTTTTTTAAAGGAGTCTGTTCTTGACTAATTTGCAGTGAAAACTGTCTTGTCAGAACAAATAAAGTAAGCCATAAGGGTAAACAAACAAACAAAAAACACAACTGAATTAAGACCTCAAGTGACTTAGGTACCTTAGACTCTCTCTCACTGAAACTTCCTTTACTATACAGACCCTTAGGCATTTATGACTTTCTATCACTTTTAAAAGAATTATCTAAGTCTTGTTTTTTTTTTTTTTTGGTCTGCTCTATTTTAGTAGTGATGTATCTCTTCCTATAAATACAGTAGCTTCATTTTATTTTAAACCTACGTCTTACAAAACAAAATAATAGTACCATGCCATCATATCAGATTTCTATGTGCAAAATGTTTCCATACCACTGCTGAATTGTTAAAGAAAAACCTAATGCAATGAAATTCTCTCAGCAATTCAAGCACCCAACTTGAGGCCAGCGCCGTGATTCCAAGTCCTGACATCCCAAGCTACAGCCGTACGGCTAAGCCCTGATTTAGAGGTTCAAGACCTCCTAGTTAAAATCAGCACAACGACTGGGTTTTCCATTAATTTCTTTCAGAACTTTTTGATATGCAAATTACTACATGCAAAATGACCCACACCATTATGGCAGCAATTCCAGACTGAAATGGAGGCCATGACCTCAACATCTTCATTCCCAGCCTCGCAGGATTGGGGCCACCCTGGCTCCAAGCAATTAGTTTGAAAAGGAGACGAGGGAAGGGAAGGGCGGGAGAAAAAACAAATTTTATTTTTGAATGTGAGACCCAGGTAAATAAATTAGATCTCATCATACTCAGAAAAAAATGAGCTCCAAGGCTTGCAAAACGCAATCAAGGACAGTGCAGAGGGATTCATTTATTCACTGGTAGCCATCAGAGGGTTTAAGCCTAACTGCCTGCTTTCTTCCATGTACATTCAAGTGCAGTTTTAATTGAAACTGATCTTCCACTACAGATTTCAAATTAATTCTTCTTCTAAGTGTCTCATGCTCCAGACATCCTTGCCTTGCAAAAAACCCTATATCATTAGAGGAGGAAATAGAATGCTTTTTCTAAGCTTGCAGGTATTGATTACCCATTCCTTCCATCAAAGCACAATTGCCATTCTGCACTGTATAAATCTCTTCGGTGCTGGACACTTTATAAAGTACCGAGAATTATATCATTAATCATTTGCAGTTGCACCTGTCTTGCCATATTGAATTCTTTGTTTTTTAGAACTTTAAATAAATGCTTTTAAATAAAAACATGACACTAAATAAAGACTCTGTTTTGCTTAAACCTAGTAAAAAAAATCCCTTTGTTCTTCCTGTGACATTTACCCATATGAAATGGAGTAACACAGAGCTGCTGGTACTTCATGTTACCAGCAGCAAACATCACCGCTTTAATCAAATAAACGTTGGGACGAATCTGAATGGGCCTTTTAAGGGTCAACAAATAATTTAGTTATTAAAAACCGAACAAGTGAAGAGCCTCTCTGTTAATAAATAATACAGGTTTGCACCGAGGCAGTGGAAATACTTGTCAAGGGAGGGTTGGGCAACCCCATCCGTGAGGGCAGCATCTGAGGGACGAGCAGCACAGAGGCCGGGCTGCCAACCCTCGGCCTCCTCCAGCTTTAACGCTAGGACCCTCCATCCAAGGTCTACCCTGAGGCCACTCAGGACCTGATCTGGGGCTTGGGACTGGTCTCTGTCAATGCGATCGTATTTCTGCTCAAATCGGCATCAAAAAGGCCTCTGTGGGGAGTAACCTCCTCACAACAGCAGCCTCCCCAAGTCCGTGTTTTCTTACCCTCAACATTTTAAACGCCACCTAACAGCAGAGACACCATCATCTGTCCTTAGCCAAAATTACCCAACGCTTCCTAGAAGGCTTCTACAACCTTTTATTATGTAAAATCTTTCTGTCAATTACCGCAGTACCTTGAAGAGGGTACAACACAGGCTGCTCTTTAAATAGAATCGGAGATTGCTTTCTTTTTTTTCCCTTCTTGCTACTGTACAACCTAAATAATGAGCAGGCTTCATTAATGAAAAACCATTAAAATAATGTATTCTGCCAAGATCTAATTAAAACTTGGATAAATACGTCCACTTCTTTTTAATCAAATGTATTTATTTCTCTCCCACAAATCTTTTGTTTAAAACATCTTTTATTAAAACTTTTAGAATTTCCTTGATTTCAAATAATTTTCCAATTAACAGGTCATTTAATCTGGTACAAATGCTCTGTTACACACATACGTGCTTACACAACATCCAGACACGAATTGGCAGACTAAGAATTCTCAAGTCATGCAATGTTTACCACTAGTCTACCACAGCTGGGAAAAAGAATTCCTTAATTCTGCTTTATTTTCACATTCACACAAAAATCCATCTTTAAACCCCAAGTCTGGTATGCAGAGAGAAATAGTTTAGATTGAAGGTGTATTTTTAATTATTTTTTTAACTCACTGATCTCAGACAAATCTAACCATATTTGGTTCCTTTTGGATGAAAAGGATAGTAATTGTTGCAAAGCAACCTAAGCCTCTCACTTCT